TATGCCAAATTTCGTGCAAATCGAAAGATATATAGGGACTTTGGTGCACCATTTACATAAAATCGGACGAAACTATATATGAGAGCTATATCTAAATCTGGACCGATTTCCACGAAACTTGGCAGACATCACTCTAGGATCAATTCAGTACATTATGCCAAATTTCGTGCAAATCGAACGATATATAGGTACTTTGGTGCACCATTTACCTTAAATCGGACGAAAATATATATGGGAGCTATATCTAAATCTGAACCGATTTTTCCCAATTTCAATAGGGTTCGTCCTTGGGCCAAATAAGTGAACTGTGCCAAATTTCATCCAAATCGGATGATAAATGCGACCTGTACTTTGTTCACAAAAATACATGGACGGACGGACAGACGGACGGACAGACGGACGGACAGACGGACGGACAGACGGACGGACATGCGTAAATCGACTCAGAAAGTGATTCTATGCACAAAGACATAATACCCTGTACCACAGTGTGGTGAAGGGTATAATTAAATGAATTCCTATTTGTTGTAATTCGCGAATTTCTTCACAAATGGTTAAACACATTTGTTTTCTTTGCATACTTGTCAAATCACATTGAATTACGGTTAAATTGTCGCGAAAAACAAAAAGAAGCATGAAGATATCTGAAAATAAAATAAATTAATTTTTTTAATAAAAACGAAAGTGTTTTTGAATTTTCGATTTTTTTTAATATGGTTAAGGGAATACGGCTTTGCCTTAATCTTCTAAAATATGCGACGTTTCTTCTTCAAATTCTTTTAGATGATTGTTAAATATCGGTATATTCATCTGATAACAGTTTCGACTGTAAAAATGACTAAAAATATTGTAAATGCAATATTTTTAGTCATAAAAATGATCAATATTAAAAAGCATGCAATTCGCGTATTATTGTTGCGCATGTGATTTTCTCATAAACTGAATCAATCTCATCCAATACTTAAGAATTTTTCGATGTTCCATTGAGCGGCCAAAGTGAGCCGCTCGATGCACTTTACTATGCAAAAACACTAAAAATGGCTGAAAATGTCGCAACGTGCATAAGATTTTTATGCGCATCCGATTTCAGTAATCTCCTGTGAAAATACACAAAAGTACACAATTTTTAAAAGGATTGGTTAAAAACTGCGGATGTGCCGCTACAATTAATTTTGGATTAAATACGCATATTATTCGCGTATCGATGAATCTTTGACTTATTTTCACACAGATTCGCGAATATAATAATACAAACATGAATGTATGTAAAATCAATTCGATGAAAAAAGCAATTATATACGCGAATTTGTCAAATATTCTGCCGTGCTATATCTGCCGTTTTATTTGGTTGAATTGAACATGGCTGGGCTGATTAGATTCGGCACGTAAAAAAACTAAAATCACGCAGGGTTAAACGGCATTTGTGTGGACCTTCTTAAATTTAGACTCAAAAAACACGAATTTTATAAAAGTTTACGCACCAAATTTTCCTCTTTGGAATCTAATTGCAAAGAAGCTACGGTGAGCGAAGCTAAATCACGAGTTCTACAATCCTATAATTAGTTTTGTCCATTATCTGGATGCGCATCCTGATTATAAGAAAAATTCAAAAAACACCGAAAATTCGGCTTCAAAATGTCAACATCCGTTTTGGGTGGATGCAGTGATTATATCGTAAAATAATACTTTAGAACCCTATTGTCCATGGGGTATTCTGCAACTTAGTCAGTGATCACATATGCGTACGTTGTGTAGTTTAGCCACAAATCAGGAAGGAACTCAAAAAAACTCGTTAATTCAACCCTTTTTACTCATTTTTCTACATTACCGCCATCACAGCTTCCACGCAACTTATCATTTATTACCAATATTTTAAGATTTTGACAAGAACACTTCATTTTATAGAAATAAATTTAGATTATATGCAATAATGTTCATATTTCGCGAGTTATAAGCTAGCAAACCTCAGTTTCAAGGAATTTAAAAGATTTGTGTAATTTCCCATATCCTCAATGACATAATACCCTGGTCCACAGTGCAGTGTAGAGTATAAATATCATTGCGCATGTCCAATACGAAGAACAGTCATAGACGATTTTATAGCATTTTCTTAATATCGGGTACCACAAAGTACGAATTTCTGTTCTATTTCCTACATATACCCAGTACTAATGATTGAATATCAAAAGTTGTAGCTAGTCTTTACATAAAGAATGCACCTTAAAAATTTCGTATTAAATTAATAATATATAAGTATACATTTTGGGTGCGGGTTTCGGTGAGTTGACCATCAATTTCAGTTCATTGCCATTGCTCTGCTATTTATTGTCATTTTGGCCTATATCCACATCGAGAGCCATTGCCGACATGGAAGAACAGCGAGATAACGCCTACTACATCTTGTCCGATTTGATTCTCAATCGTCTATGATTCCATTTCGCTAACGATGCACAGTGTCACGACCGCGGCCAAAAATGGTAAAAACCAAGTACATGGGAGCACAAATTTATTGATGAGAATTGATAGAAAACATTCCAGTTAGGAAAAATATGAATTATGGTATTGATACGCCAAGTAGTTTTGCCTATACGAGGGTTAAAATCTTTTTCACATGCTCAAAAATTTGAATATTAAAAGTAAAGGTTATAAAAAATTGTTTATTTTAGTTGCTTGGGATGTCAAAAACTTGGCTTCACCTTTGTTTGGGTGTAAATAGTGATCATATGGTGTTTACAGTTACAAACACCGGTTTTACTTAATCCATCTATTTGTAAAGCAATTCTTGAAATTAGTGGATTAGAAAAAAAGTTTAATCTCCATTTTTGTTTATTTTAGTTGTGAAAAGTATGTACTTTTAACCTATAAAAAATAGCTGCGGAGGCCTGCGGTCCTAAGAGTTATTTAACTTTTTTGGTGAACACCTTATAAAAAATATGGCATATTCATGAAATGGTTGGAAGCGAATGGTCCAATATGTTATGTATTCAATTAAATAAGTTATTGAGGGCCAAATAGGAAGGAGAAGATGGATTCCGAACATAGTTATCATACAATATTTTACATAAAATTTGCAATTAAGTGGTAAAAACGTTATTCGAAGCGGAGATATGGAAGAATTGGTATTAAAATATAGCTTTTAAATAATTTTTCAGTCAATTTGAAGATTATTCTTATTTATCAGATTATTTGAGACATAATCTTATAATCTAAATTTAGAGGTCGCACATGAATTACATTTGTGGAAAGTTCATACAGAAAAATATTAGTTCATGGCATGGGATATGCAAAGTGCAGTACAATACCTTTTGAGCGACTTTCACAAGATGGTAACAAGTCATGCCATAAAATAATTAGTAGCAGCCCTAACTTTTGTTAAAGCCGAGTCAAAGAAGGATTTTATTTAGTATTTTATATTACAATCCGACCTTGTAATATCCTTAAACAGCCATAAAGTTAAGGCCCGAAATTATAACATGGATGATACGAAATCGTACATTTGGGAAGACAATATTATATATATATATATATATCTGATTTGCGTTTTGAAAATTTTGTTAATGATAAAAAAGTAATTTATATATATATCAAATATTTTATTATAATAAAAATAAAACTACTATACTTAATTTAGCTCCATATAACGATTTTATAGTACAGAAAATTACTTTTATGGGGACGTTTGGTATGTAAGGTACCTGAATCATGGACCAATAACTAAATTGCAACACCTATTAAAAATTTGAAGGAATTTGGACGAAGACATGACAATTTTCGTGGAATTTGGATTAATATAAGCAAGTTATAGGTCAAAAAATCGGATTTTCAAGACCCTTTGTTTGGGAGGTATATCAAATCTTGGCCCGATCTAACCAGTTTTTCGTCAGTTGCTCTTTAGGCCAATAATAAGCACATGTACAAAATGTCATTAACTTATGATAACTCCTTCTATTTTTGGCCGCTGTTTATATGAACTCGCGACATAGTGCGATGTGACAATGGCGTCAGTTTTTTTCACGTGCTCCTCATTATATCTGTAAAGTGCTATTGCATGCACTATATTTCTGGCCTAGGGCTTACTCCACAAACAAAGGTGAAAAAATAACTAATACGTCAAACCTCCATATACGTGTAATCAATGGATACAAAACAATGCGTGATTCGATAGGAATTCTGTATAATTTTGGTCTTCTTAACACACATAACGCTAGAAAGTTTTTCTTCAAAATCTTAAATTTAATTATATAACCTAAATATTTTATAAATAAATAACTATTTATGAATAACATTTAGTTTCAGCATGAAGCTAGGAGAGTATAGAAAAGGATATAACAATAAAATAAAATAGCTTACAGAAATTCACTGAGATAACTGTTGCTTTCTAGCTTGGACTGTGGCTTGGACTGTGACTGAGTTAATTACGCACATTTCATTTAATATATAGAAGTTTTTTCATGCAATTTTATATGCAGGCATGATGCATTGTTTCGAATATTTGCACAAAAAATAATAAATCGAATCGAATTTCATATTTATTCTTATACAGTACAGTAGTTAAAGTAGTTTATTTTCATTTTAGTACGAGTTAATGGAACAATTTGCGACACATGGCAGACATTGCGTCACTTCACAACTATACCTATACGTAACGTACAACCTTAATAACGTATACTTTACACAATCCTATTGAGCTTTCAGTAATCGACCGAAAGCTTCTTAGCTTTTTGTTGTCATCATTTTCTCCATTTCCCGGTGGTGGTTGTTTCATAAGACCTTATGCACACACATTGATATGTGTTTGTGTGAATGTGTGTGCGTTATATTATTCACGTGCAGTTGGCCACTTTGTACGCAAAAACTAGGAAGGTAAGACAAAGCAAAATAACAGTTCGCCGATTTTATTGATTTAACAACGGCACCTCCATTAAAACAAGAGGGTTTCTACGAAAAAAAAAACAGTTAAGTAATATTCGTAGAACATTTCGAATTTTTGGAAGAGCAAAAATGTTGCTACCCCAGCAAACTCAGCCAGGATATTTGGAACGTTTGGTGAACATTCTAAAGTCCCCGATACGGCCGAAACATATTCGCCTTTCTGCTGTGCTCATCTGCATTAATCAATTTGTAAGTGTTCGGATCCTTGAATTTTGCTTGTATGCGGATTTCTGTGAGTTGACCCTCAATTTCAGTTCATTGCCATTATATTGCTCTTCATTGTCATTTTGGCCTATATCCACATCGAGGAGGCCAATTCGAGGGCCATTGCCGACATGGAAGACCAGCGGGATAACGCCTACTACAGCTTGTCCGATTTGATTCTTAATCGTCTACGATTCCATTTGGCTAGCGATGTGACAATGACGTCACGCGTTTTTGCTTCCATACTCGTGTGCTGCTCCTCGGTGTATCTGTTAAGTGCTATTGGCCTTCTAATAGGCATATACAAGAGTCGCGAGGAATTTGTACTGTTGTGGCTGGTTTTGCAATTCTTCTTCTTTGTGGCCGGTTGCATTTTTATGTTCTGGGTATCCGGCTCTGAATTTGTAGAGCACACCATTGGCAAAGTCTGCTTCTGTAAGTTTTGGAGTTAGTCTTTTTCCCTTGTGTGGAGAAGTAACCCTCATTTATGGAACTGTTTTCAGTTTTAATGACGGCCGCTGTACTTCTGAGTGATGCCTCCATGTGGTATATCATCTATAATTATTACCATAGCATACGCCTAATGAACAAATTGCGGGAGATAGCAACTGTGGCCATTCCATGTCCTCCGCCGGGATCTGTAAGTAATTCAGATAACCTCTTAAGGATCCAGTAACCATTTGTGTTGTTATAGGTGCCGTTCCATTTCCGCCGCGAGAACATGTACTTGGGAAGTAATGGCTACAAACACATTCTCTCCGACGCCCCCGATGGTAACTACTGATGCGTGCGTGTGTGCCACAGAACATCCAAGCTGTAAAAAATCCGACATGACTAAGATTAATTTCAATTAACATTTAGGGCACAATGTTTGTAAATCTGAGGGGGTTGCCATCGTTGTGAGACACCGCATTTCATCAGGAAGAAGAAGAACGTATGAGTGTGCCTACACACACGCCTCACACCTTGACAATTCTCACAGATGTTGCAAATAGTATCCGGAAATTGAAATATGGTGTGATATTTGAATTAAGTCAACATAAAGATATTACCTTTAGTTAGTTATAGTTGAATGTAAGCGAACAAAATATAACTACAACAACAAAATACACACATACGTATATATAAACAAAAACAGAGAGAGGCACACTATCTTAATGTCTCTCTCTCACACACACACACATAAAAATTATGAAAACAAAACAAAAAACCTTGAAGCAAAATCCCTTTGCTTCCTTTCGGCGATGATGGTGATCCAATAGATTCATAGGAAACGCAATCGTCAACACAGGATGATGCGATTTAATTACAAAAAATATCAAACGAATATACAATATATCTAAATATATACGATTAATTATATACATACTCTTAATAAAATATGTATGATCAAATACAGATGAGAATGTATTTGGAATACGAACAAGTACGTAGTTCAAATTTCTATTTTTATTATTAGAGGAAGAAAAAATCCACGATGTTCGTATTGGACTTTTTATTTTGGCAATGCAACAACGTGCGGGGGGCCCCTCCGAAATGAGGATTGATTTTTTAATTCTTATACAGATATGGATTTTTCGTATCATTATATCATTAAGAAAAAATTACATACATTTTTGAAAAATTACTAATTTGTTTAGTGCAACTGCAATTGAATTTCGAAATATATTTGAGTACTCGACTTTTTGAGAGTACATCTATAATTTTTGCTGCATAGATTAAGAAAAAAGGTTTTTATTATAACCTCCGCCTTACGACTAGTGAAGGTATATATACTTTGCTACGGCAAAAATGTGCCTCATCGAAATATTGGTTTTATACTCCATGGTTCTTTGGACCAAATCCGTTTCAGACAAATTGGACTCATTTACAAATATCCGCCCGTCCGTCTGCGTGTCTGTCAAGCTGGCTAATGTTCAAGATAACTCACTAATGGAGTAACCGATTTACTACAAACTTTGCACATCGTAATGCCAACTGACTATCCGATTTCAACTAAACTCTGCAAAACCTTATATTTTATCAACCCTGTATAATGTTTGAAGATGGGACTCATTAGTCCACTCCTTCTAGTATCTCCTCTATAAAGGGTCAATATTTTCAAAACTTGTAAATCTCATATGAAGCGAACGCAATAGCCAATTTCATCCCAACTTTGCTCAACGCAATATTTTTACCAATCCTATCGGTCCTCCTCTTCTGGTGTCAACATTTGAATATTCATAAATCTAATATAAAGCGAATGGAATGTCCGATTTGGTCCATGCTGTGCACATCATAATATTTCTTTCAAACTTAAATCTAGTTCGAATATGGAGAATATCGGTTCACTCCTTCTGGTACCTCCCCCACAAAATGGTCTAAATTTTGCTGAAAATTAATTGGGAACAGACCATCGGATTTGAACCAAACTTTGACACCCTAATATTTTAACAAAACCTGCATAATGCTGCAAGATATCGGTCCACTCCTTCTAGCTCCTCCCCTACAAAGGGTGAATATTTTGAAAGCTTTTAAATCTCATATGCTCATATCCAACAAGAACCGTGTATATGCCTCCCCAATCTATTTTGGATAAAATTATTCACGTATCGCTATATTTTTGATGCATTTACTCAGGAATATGGCTTATAAATGTTTATATTTATATACAAAACTAGCGGGCCCGGCAAACGTTATCTTGCCTAGCAATATAGTTGATGTATAATTTTCGTCATTTTAGGTTGGTTTTATAACTTCCACAGATTTTTGTAATACCTTAAAGTACTGAATATCTAAAATTGTATGTTTATGAGCGAGGGTTGTTGCTATATTTGTCTTCTAAAGTTTTGGTAGATATACGTTGATAAGTAATTGAATTCGTGGAAAATAAATTTAAATTAAAAACATTTAAATGCACATATAAGTTTGACTTCCGGATTTAATTACATTTTCCCCAATATATTTATAAAACTTCCATATAACGGTAGCCCAATATTAAATTAGCTTTTATACCCTCCACGATTTAATATAACTTTGAAATTTGCACATACCTTATATACATACATACATTTCTACTACTCATAAGATATTTGGTATTGAAAATGTTAAATTTTCGTTCACTTTTTAGGGTAGCCCCCAATATCCAACAGAATTACTTCTAATTTAATAATAGGGACCCAATATTTCGAATATCCCCCTATAACGGTATACCTCAAATTCGGTATTTGGCTGTAATTTTATATTCGCCCAAGCCTCCAAATATCGCCTATGGGGGATTTGGGCACTTAAATATAATCGGCTGTAATTTGGCATATATCCATTCCCATTGTAGTAGATGTAATATATCATTCCGGGATATTGAATGGTAAACATTTCTATTTAGGACCAAGATTTAATATAACAATACAGAAATGGATTGTAAAGACATTGACCGAATTGGGTTGGCCTAACGTATTAAAAAGGTGCCATAAATATTTCCCGTTTAATTATCGGTATGCCCGTAATTTTGAACATTATTTTTTCAGAGCTTGTAAGTTTACTATCACATAATGCTGAAACATTGTCCCCACCGATTTAGGGAATCTACAAAGAGATTACACCTAAGTCTGTTTTTACGCGGTCTTTTGATATAACACGGTTTGAAAATTGAATATTTTTAATTTTTTTAGACGATTTTATTCCATTTAGCACGATTTGAAATTTTATGTTCATATCACAAAAAAGTGTTTATGAAAGAAAAAAGTCAGAAACCATCGATAGTATCGATAGTTTGCGAACACCAGCTTAAAGATTTAAGTGAATTACCCTTTAGCTCGTACAAACAATTTTTACTGGTCAAAGCAAATGTGAATAGCACTAATTTAGGGGAATTCGCTTTATGTATAAGATCAAAGTCTTTTTTTACACGGCTTCTTCTGGAACCAATCTACAGACTTAGGTGTATATATTTCTCGTAACATTGCAACATTTTAGGTACTTTATGGTTCAACATGTCCCTATTATTATTTTCAAGAAAATAATCTAGGGCATGAATCTTAGAATCAGAACTCTATTCCGACTGTCTTCTGATTTTCATCCTTGCATTTGTCCCAACATTTACGGGGATTTTATAGAAAAACGTGTATATAAATTGATCGCGTGTACATTCAATGATATATTTCTCAATTATTTTTTGTATTCTCACAAAAAAAGTTTCAATACAATGTCAATCCAATTGAAAAAAATAAAATATTTTGAAATTTTTCAATATTTGACAAACGAAGGCTTATAGGATTGACCATGGTACAATTATAAAAGGTAACAGCAAATCCCAGCTGATTTGATTCCAACGTAATACTAGTGTCAATATGAATTTGACAAATTATGTTTTTAAAAATCACCCAACAGGAAAATTGGGAACGCATTCAATTCGAATTTGTTCTGTATTAAATGTCCTCCCGTATTCAATTTACTCAATCTGCCTGCTGGGAAAGTTTGAGGAAGCAAATCTTTCTTCAAGGATCAACTCGCTATTCCCAGCATTTGCATATGTGTTACACATATATATGGCAATGGCTCAATTATAGGAAAGATGTGGAAGCGATAGAAATATACATTTTATAGATTTTCATTCATGTTTTTCAATTTTTATTTTGAGGATTCAAAAATATTTCATTTTCAAAATAAAAATAATTTGATGATAATTTGTTTGTTTGTTTACATTTTTCTGTCAAATGAGTTGACACTAGTAGAACTTACAACAACAAATTTCCATGTGGTTGTTGTATCGTTTTTTGTACAACAACACTTGCTGTTACCTTCTTTTATTATACCATGAGGATTGACTAGCTTTATTATTGGACATTTTTTAACACGTTAATAAAGTGAAATTTGAAAATAAGTGTAGTAAAACAATATGATGATGTGATTTTTTAATCCTGGTCGTTCAAATTCTATAACGTTTAAACACGTTACCTAAAATCCGACGGGGCGTAAAAAATATTCAACATCCCCACAATGGCAAAATGTTGTGTACGGCCGCATTACCCAAATACGTCGAATCCATATCTTCAAGCAAATAATATAAACCGCAAAACAAAATTGAAAATTTATTAAATTAATCCACGTATTTTTAGTTTCCATTCGAAATTTCAAATTTCCAGAATGTTTTGTTTTTGTTTTCAACAAAAGAAAAAATAAAAATACGTTCTGTCAAAGTTGAAATTGTTCAACTTGAAATTTTGTACGTTCGACGTATTTCGGTAACATTCATATAAATACATGTGTTCTACTTTTGTGGTGAAAAACGTCGAACGAGCTAGTTGAATTTTAGGTAAGCCTGTAAAAATTTAATCACTCAATTTTTATTTATTCATCAAATTTATTTACAATGGTTCTTAGCATGGTACAATAATACAAGGTAGGGCGGCTTGAGGTAAATAACAAAAAAAAAAAACAACTATGCACGTGTGGCTTCTTCTGGCAAAAATAAAATAAATATACGCAACAAGTGTTTGTGTTTATTTTACATTTTTTCAACACAAAACTAAAAACGCGAAAAATGAATGAAATGTTATGATTTCTTCCCAAAATCCAGTAGGGAATACCAAAAAATGTTTGTTTCATCCATAACAAAGTAATTACTTCCAGACGAACGTGTTAAAAACTTTATTTTCATTTCAATTAAAGTTGAATATATTCCAAAATATTTTGAATTTATTTGACATTGTATTCAAAACAATACACACACAAACACAAAATATGTATTTTGATTTGATTGAACAAGCCACCTTGAGAAAAAATTGTAATCAGTTGGTAGCTGTGCCCTACCTTGTAATAAGTATACCATGGTTCTTAGCATGAATTTTATAGAAAATAGTAAAATAGTAGTCGTAGAACTATTCAATAGCTAACGATGGTGTAGTATAACGCGAGA